CCCAGCACTTTTTGCTGAGCCTGATCAGTTAGGCATGATCTAGAGTAACTGGAATTAGAGGAACAAAGAGCTCTTCAGATCTGTACTGGGGAAAGACAAACTTTTGCATGAGGCCTCTCCTGGACTGCTTTTATTATTTGTGTTATTATTTTAGTCAGTTTCCCGACTTCATTTACCGACTGTAGAAAAGTTTTAAGAACAAAACAGAGAGAGATGTGTATTATACCAATGAGAAATAAAACTCTTTTCCCCCTAAAAGAAGAGCTATTAGACACAATACACAAGGACCAGTCACCCCCTCATTAACCTCTAAAAATGAGTCTTTCAGGCCAGGTTTGAAGATGTTTTCTCTCTAAATGGTGCCACGCAGCCCAACAGTTCATTGCTATTCTGATCAAACAATGACCCACATTAACACTTCTCTGGGGTCATTAGCATATTTATAAAAAAGTGGGGTGAACAAGCATTCCCCTCTCTGCTGCCCTTTGTGATATGTAGCTATGGAGCAAAGTCTTGAGAAGAAAAAAGGAGTAATATTATTAACCAATATTTCAACTCCTCTATAAATATCAAAATGCCTGCACACATCCCAGCCTCAAGCATAGAGACTACTGATTGGATTTGAACTGCAGCGAGATACAAGACAGCTTGGGGTCACTACATTTATTTCTTGATGTGAGTGGCCTTAAACTAGATAATGAAGACTGCGGGCTGAGGACCCAGGTCAGAAAAGCATCCCTTCATTTAGATATATACAGATTAGCAATTGAAGCATAGACCCAGTTCTCCCTCGGGAAGGGCTTCTTTATGTCTTTTCTTTTCTCTTCTTTTCTTTCCTTTTCTTTTTTTTTCTTATCTGGACAAGAGAGGATAATGTAAAACCATGGAAAACAACTGCTTCAAAGAATCAGGGTGTAGCATGGACTCAAATGTTCAGCAGATATTAAAATGTTTTCTGTAACTCTATATATGTGCTGTGTGGATATCATACATATTCACACGTATGTGATGCATAAATGCACGTATAATTTTGACAGATTAGACATACACACATATCTATATGGTGTGGAGATTTTAAGAATTGGTTCCTAAGGGTTGGCGAAAGGAGTTCAGTCCATTCGTATGAGAATCCAAGTTTGTATGCACAGCATTCACACAAAACCCAACCAATCTACCTGTGGTCTGTGCCTGTCATCGTAGCCCTGAAAGGCAGTGACAGAAGAGTCTCTGGTGGCCAACCAGCCTAGTTAGCTCCAGGTTCAGTGAGACATACTATCTTAAAGAAGGCAGAGGGTGGGGGTGTTGGCTCAGTGAGCAAAAGCATTTGCTACTCAAGCTTGTTGACCTGAATTTGCCCCCCAAGATCCACATAGAAGCAGGGTGTGCTAGCGCACATGTCTCTCTCAGTACTCCTAGGGAGAGTGGGGAAGAGCAGAGACTTGGTCTTATGGCTTACTGGCCAGCTACCCTGGGGCATGCTGGGTAGTGGCAGAAAAGAGAGAGACCCTGCCTCAACATGGTGAGAGGCAAGAACTGATGTTCAAAGGTCCTCTAGCATCTACATGCTTGTGTTCTGGGGCATTCATATGTTCTCTCTCTACCCACCTGCCCCTTACATGCATGGACACACATACCCACTCAATTAAAATAAACACTTTTAAGTGAACAGTGATTGAAGAGACACTGAATGCTATCTTTAATCTCAAAATATACACAATATGTAAACATATCAATGCAGACACACACATACACACACACACTCAGTTATTAGGAGGCTTATATAATGTCAGTAAATGTTCCAGAAGATCAAAGTGGGTTGTGTTCTTAGTTCTAAGTCCCACGCCGTTAGGCTTGGAGAGGCACACATAGGCGGATCTTTGGTGTTAGTTAACTGCTGTGCTAAATGGGAGCAAGTATTTATCATTAACTTCGAGGGGAAGAATCATTTTCCGGCATTAGTTTATTTCAATGATAATATCAAAAATTTCAAAGTGACTTTGAAAGAAAATTCTTTGATATAGCCACATAAGCTAATTTTATTCTTCTTCGGACTGTGTGGCCCTCAGAAGATCCCCTGGGTCTACTGGCATGGAGGAAGTTAGCAGACAGCAGGAAATGCCCATCTCATTTGAAAGCAGTTACTTGCGGGAAGAAAAGACTCGTAGATGAGAACCCCCAGCTGAGGACACTTGGAGAGAACAGAGAACTTGACAAGGCTTTATTTGATCAGTTGCTAACAACTGTGGACCAGAATTCAATAAACAAGTCAACACTCCTCTACAAAATCTTTATGCTACCATCAACATACTTCCTTCTAGGAAATGTCATTATGATTTATTCAATTATGAATGTATTCTTGCTGGAGAATCAGAGACAAGAATAATATTGCTACCAAGATACATTTTTCTGTCCTCCGGGTTGTAGGGGGAGGTGCAGATGGTCAGAATGAAGGTTCACAGTTATGAATAAACTCCAAGTACTTAATTATGATACCTTCCATGTTTGATCTCGTGTTTTGCAAAGGAAACCGGGTCATAGAGTTTCTCACATCTTCTCCTTGGGTGGTTGTATTTATATGGAGTACAATGAACATACAAACACTAATACTTCAATTAGTAGATTCAGTGCTAACTTCATGCTCAGCTAAGTATCTCAAAGCACGCAGCTCTCTTCAGGCATCTGAAAAATCACTTTCCTCTCTCTTCCAAATTCATTTTTTTCCCTGTGTTTAAGAAAGACACCAGTGTTCTGGGGCAGAAGGGACGGCTCAGTGGTTAGGAACGGTTGCTATTCTTCCAGAGCCTCTGGATTTGGCTCCCAGAACCATCTCAGATGTTCACAACCTCCTGGGACTCCAGTTCTCAGAGATGGGACACATGGCAACATAAACTAACATAGGCACCTATACATAAGCAAACCAATCTTTCAAAACAGGACAATATCAGAGGTAAGTTTAGGTGGCAGGAAACAAACATCTATATTAGAGGGGCTTCTCCAGGGGCAGTACAAGTTCTATTGATCTAGAATGATCCTTAAAGATATGTCAACATATGTGAATGAAGTAGACAGGAACCACAGTGGGAACAAGAGGCAGACAGATTGGAGGGCCCTAATCCACACCCAGGCAGCCACTAAAAGTCAAGCTCCTTCCTTCCCCATCAGCCATATATATTATCAGCTCATGTTTCCCCTCCACTCATATGGGGGCAAACTCTGATGGGTACAAAATGACCATGCCAGGATGTCACCCAAACAAGCTGGTTGCTGACCCACATGAGCCAGGGAAAAGGCAGGTAGAAGAACACTGCCCGGGGGTAAGAGGGCTCAGTGGGTAAGAACATTTGCCAAGCAAGAATGAAGAACTTTGAAACCGGGTGTGGCGGTGCCAATCTGGAACCCTGTAGTTTTCTAGCCACCAGCCGGACCCAGTCTCAACAGAATAAGGCAAAGGTAGAGAGTGACAGGCCAGTCAGGATGCTGGGCAACTCTTCTGGGCTCTGTATATGCCTTATTACATATTACATGCATGCAGGTATGCAGTTGTACATGCATGTACATGTGGGCTCACACACACATGCATAGGCACATGCAAAGAAATAAATTCCAACCTCATGACTAACGGAAAGTTACCCAAACCCAGGCCACTCGAGCAACCAGACCAAAGGCTTGTGTTTTGATTTGTTGAAAGGCAGCACTGTTCACGTCTCTGCAACCTCCTTTCTCTTTCAAAGGCAGTTTTTACCTGTGATGTTCGTCCCCTCTGCCTCCTGTTTTGTTTCTGTTATCATGGAGGTGAAAGCTCCCTCTGACTAGCGTCACGAGCACACTTTGATGAAAGAGTAGTCAAGTTTTCAGGAAGAGCATGGCTTTTGAGAAAATACTACAGCACTCCCTTCTGGAGTTCTCAGCCTACACACCAATCTTGTTGTGTTAGCGATCTCTTCTAAACCCATGGCTTACTTAGAAATTGCAGCTAAGTTAGGCCGTAATGGAGATTCTGTTCAAACCCTTAAATTCAAGGCCTGAGATCTTTCGCTTTATAATCTGTGACTGCCACTGTTCTCCTCCCTTATGACATTTACAGGGCAATGTTTTATGTCATTTACATTTGGAGAACAATGTCTAGTTTACTTAGCTTACAGTATTAATGACTGGAGTTTGGAACTCTCATGTAAATTGAACCAGCTACAACCCATTTAATAATGAGGCATGTGGTTCTCCAAGGAGCAATGGAGGGAGTGGAGAAAAGCGGCATGGCTTGGCAGTGCATCAGCTGCTTGTTGCGTCCCTCGTAGCTGTGACAAAGTACATCATAGAGCAACTTGAGTTAGGAAGGGTGATGGTGGCTCATGGGGGCTACTCACCTGGGAGAACTCTTTCCCTTGGGTGGGGAAGGCCTGGGACAGGGCGAGCTCACATTGCATCGGTATTGTGGAGCAGAGGGGAAGCATTCAGTGCTCAGTTGGCTTCCTTGGTTTCTCTTTTTTTCAGTCTAGGACTCCAGCCTCTGGGATGGTGCTGCCCACACTCAGCTCGGGGTTTTCTCTTCTCATGAAAGCTCCTTGGAAATACCCTCAGAGCTGCTGCCAACCTGTGTCTTCCAAGTGACTTCAAATCCAGCCAAGCTGACAGTGAAGATAAACCATCACAGTTCCTGATTCATAGATTTGCTGAGGAAATGTTGACTGCATAGTGAAACAAAGCCACGAGAGATGAGGAGTCGCTGCTAAGGAGAGCTCCATATACATCTCTCTCTAGCAGAGATAGTAGAATCTCGGATACACCTGTCTTTCACTTCTTCTAGCTGCCTTTCAACAAAGCTGGAAAATAACATTTAAAGCACATCTCTGGCTGTGCCTTTGTGGTTCAGGTGTTGATGGGAAGGTCCTTGTGGTTCAGGTTTTGATGGGAAGGTCCTTGAAATGGTTTACTGAAATGGACCACAGGCTTGCATTTTCAGCTTCCCTCAGCTTCTGAATGCTGCAGGTGAAGACACTCACCTGGGAGAACTCTAGCATAATACCCAGAACAGTACTGGTGATCTGGCCGTGCCTTGAGGATTCGACCCCTACGACAAACTGCAGTGGAATTTGGAAGCGCCGTGATGTGTCTCTGTTCACTGCTGCTTTTTCTGGGCTGAGGGTCATAGAGAAGTCCATCACAACAAGCCTGAAAGTTTGGATCAGTTTTAAAGAAATATTTTAAAAATAGACAATTTTACGTTTGCAGTAAATATGTGCACCTGATTACGAATGCTGCATCTCCTGGAGCATAGTTACCTCTCCAAAGGCCTTGAAAGCTGACCACACTGCCCACCACTGCAAAAATGTGTTCTCCAGCATCACACAAATTCCATAAACGTCACTCGAAACAATGCAGCTTTCCTTGCCTTCCTCAACTGAGCTTTGCTTTGTGATATAACATTATGTAAATGAAAATGTAAATTGCCTTTCGACTGCCAGTGCTTCCAGTATAAAGATACTTAAAGCTGTAAATGAACCATTTCCTTCACCTAGATATCGTTCTTCTAATGATTGCTTAACTTGAAAACACCACACCCATGCAAACTGCTTCCTGCTCATCCTTTTTATTAAATAGATTGAATTTTCCTTATAATGTATATGATCATTTATTTATAGACCCCAATTTCCCATTAAGGCAATCTCCCCCTCTCTTTTTTCCCCTCTATACATATATGCACATATGTATATATACACACATATATACACCTATGCAAATATATATCACAGCAAATATATATTGCAGACTACTCCAATCACAAAAAGAATTTACATGGAAACCAACTTGGGAAGTCATTTTCTCTGTGTTTCTGCAAGCAGCTAGCTTCAGAAAAAAATCATATGCTTGAACAATCAGTTAAGTATTTGTATCTTTATGCTCTGTATAAAACAAATCAAGGGCTGGAGAGATGGCTCAGAGGTTAAGAGCATTGCCTGCTCTTCCAAAGGTCCTGAGTTCAATTCCCGGCAACCACATGGTGGCTCACAACCATCTGTAATGAGGTCTGGTGCCCTCTTCTGGCCTGCAGGCACACACACAGACAGAATATTGTATATATAATAAATAAATAAGTAAATATTTAAAATAAATAAATAGAAATAAAACAAATCAAACACTGAGCAGTGGCTAGAAAGTGGATGAGAATTTGGACTGGATAGAAGTCACTTTGATTAGAGAGATACTTCATGAGGCAGAAAAATCAACAATGTTTACAGAGAACCCCTCCCCCACCATGATGCCTCCACTTTGGAAGCTGCCTCAGAGCAATGACTGAAACAGAAGTCCTTCACAGCTCCACCCACTCAGTCCTTCATCTACAAAGTTATCTCACCCAGCCACTCAGGCCGCATCCCTAAACAAGCAGAAACACATTTTTTAAGTCAGATTTAGCTATTAGCCATGAGTATTTAAGGCCAGTCTTACTGTAAGTACATACTCGATGACTCTTCCTTTCAATGCTGTGTTCTGCATAAAATATATGAAAAGTTACATACCATGCTTAAGAGTTCCAAGAGAACCCTTTTCTGCTTTTGAAGTAATTTCTATACTTTTCATCAAAAGCACTTAATATCAACCACCTGTATAAAAAATATTACTAGACAAGATATATTTGTTTTTTCTAAAAGTTCTACATTTTAACTAGCAGGTCTTTTATATTAAAAAGGAGTCCCCATTATGATTTTCCATGTACATATGCACACTTGTATATATACTACACACACACAATTAAATCAAAGCACAGTAATTTTAGAGATACAGAAATTGTAAGGTTGCCAAGTGCCTGGCTTTATGTGTCTCCTACATAGTAACTACTACTAAGCAAGTGGCTGGCTTTATGCATCTGCTACATAGTAACTGCCACTAAGCAAGTGGCAGCCATAATAATTTGTGTTTCGATCCACATGGCTCCGGAAATTCACTTTATTAATTCCGGAGTTCCTTTCTAGTGGATCTTATGGATTGAGGAGGAACCTTAGTTATCAAACGTGCAACGCTGCTGATAAATAGGACGGTATTTCATTAGATGAAATCTTACCTTCAAATCAAGTCGTTTTCTGTGTTGTTTGTCAATAAAAGCCATTTACAAAACCCTCCGTCTGGCTGTATTATTGATCTGATCCCTAAACAGCAACTAATATGAACATTAATCTACAAATGACCATAATTCTAAGATAGTTCTGACACACCAGGAGCAGTCCTGTTTACGGCAATGTATCAGAGTTGTGGGAAGAAACAGCCGTTTGTAGCTGAATGGATTTGTGCAGTGAAAATTTCAAGTCCTTGCCGGGCGGTGGTGGCACACGCCTTTAATCCCAGCACTCGGGAGGCAGAGGCAGGCGGATCTCTGTGAGTTCGAGACCAGCCTGGTCTACAAGAGCTAGTTCCAGGACAGGCTCCAAAACCACAGAGAAACCCTGTCTTGAAAAACCAAAAAAAAAAAAAAAAAAAAAAAGAAAAAAGAAAATTTCTAGTCCTTGAATTTGATACTAATGGAGGGGGTACCTAGCATCTGAATAAACCCATATTTTCTGGAAGATGATGGAAGATTTAAAAGCTAAGATGCTCACGAGGTCAGTAGGAATTTGGTAGGAATGTTTTCTTCTCTATGTGGTCTTCACAATGTAATATGAAAATCAATTATCATAACAACTTGGTGAAAGGAGCCTGGGCTTTCATTGGTACATGTGAAAAGATCTACCTTAGTTCCTGGAGAACAGCAAGTATCCCCACGGATATTTTCAGGGTGTTGACACTTGACCCTTGCATAGCTCATCATGGAACCTCTCTGTTAATGTCTGGGTTTCAGAGCATGGATGCCTTGTTTTCCATAAAAGGTCATATCTGAGAATGATTCCATTTGGATTTCTTGGTGTCATCCAATTTATTTGAAGGGATCTGCAACAGACAAAAATATACATATACATGTAAATACACATACATGGATATACGTACATGTGTGTGAGAGATATGTTTTATAATTATAATTATGTGTATGCTGCACCACTCCAGGCTAGAGCCAATCCCATTGACAAACAACATACAACACAACTGCTACCAACCTTACTCACTCACTCTTCCTGATTGGTTAGAAGATCTGACTTCAGGAGCAATTCCCTGCCCATGGAGTGTGTATTACCATGCTTATATATGCTGATGCACATGCTAATGTACTTGTATGCTCATATCCACGACTATTATACAGCTTGTTTCAAGACTCAATCCAAACTGTTTTAGTTTGGGGAGAACAATACATGGTAGGTGTCTGGTGGTTTCTCACTTGAAGTTTCAAAGACAAGAAGAAAAAAAAAGCCTCTGTGAGGAGTCAAGAGAACCAATGGTCTACTGGGTTTGCTGAAGAAAAACCAAGGAAGAAACCTTGGTAAACAACAAAATCTGGAATATAGCAGATGGAACCTCCTCTCTATGCATCCTCTCCTTTTCAAAACCAAAGAGAGACATATCATCCAGCTGACCAAAGATGTATCTGGAAGGCAACTGTGAAGTCTATGGGCAGTGTTAGCTTCCTGGACATGGTTGTCAATGTCTCCCTTCTTTGCTATAAGATGTCTTCATTAATACCTGTGCTGGTTCAAGAAAGTCTGTAAGAATCCCAAAGAGCAGCACAGAAGTTGGGATCTCTGAGACGATGACATCACCTATCTCTGTCTGGATCTAACTGTGTAAGTCTCAATGGCTAGTTCCTAAACCCGCAGCCAAAATCAATTCCCAAATTGAGAAAACCATCAATATCACTAACTGTTGCAAGGAACTGCTTGTTCATCCTGGCTGCCCAGAACTGAAATAATCACACAGAAACTGTATTAATTAAATCACTGCTTGGCCCATTAGCTCTAGTTTCTTATTGGCTAACTCTTACATCTTAATTTAACCCATTTCTATTACTCTGTATATCACCACGAGGTCATGGCCTACCAGCAAAGTTTCAGCACATCTATCTCCAGTGGTGGATCCATGGCGTCCCTGACTCCATCCTCTTTCTCCCAGCATTCAGTCCAGTCTGCCCTGCCTACCTAAGTTATACCCTATCAACAGGCCAAGGCAGTTTCTTTATTTATTAATGGTAATCACAGCACACAGAGGGGACTTCCTCATTAACTAACTTCTTCCAAAGAGCATCTGATATTTCTCTGCATTTGAGCCACTGCTAAGTAGATTTGTTTCTTCAGCTCATATGTGCTTTGTAGTCTGAGGTCTAGGAACTGGCGATTCCTAAGATGAATACCCTTACAGAAAGCATTTGATTTTTTAAAATTTGAGGAACCACTCCGTTTTAGAGACATACAGGCTTTTGGGGGCTGGAATAGAATAAGTAACAGTTGACCAACATTTCCTGCTTTTTTAGTGAGTTGTTAATACTCTATTTGTGCTGAAGGAGATCAGAAAAGTAAAGCTGCCTACAGAGAAGAAATGAAGTCAGAGCGCCCTGGTGACTCCCATCTGTAATCCCAGCACCTGGCAAGCTGAAGTAGGGAGGATAGCAGTGAGTTAAAGCCCTTCTACGTTATCTCAAAACATAAAACAAATGAAAAATGATCCATGATCAGATTAATACTATGAATCTGCCTGGATCCTATGTATGCGGTGTCTACAGGTTCTCAATAAGAAGAAAGTAGTTAGAAAAGAAACAAGTACTGAAGGTGTTTATGAGTTGTAGAAGTTCCTTGGTAGAATTTTTGGGTCACTCATGTAAACTATCACATCATCAGCAAATAGTGAGAGTTTGATTTCTTCTTTTCTGATTTCTATCCCCTTAATCTCCTTTTGTTGTCTTATTGCTCTAGCTAGAACCTCAAGTCCTATATTGAATAGATATGGAGAGAGTGGACAACCTTGTCTTGTTCCTGATTTCAGTGTGGTTTCTGGGAGTTTCTCTCTATTTAGTTTGATGTTGGCTGTTGGCTTGCTGAATATTGCTTTTGTTATGTTTAAATATGTTCCTTGTATCCCTTCTCTCTCCAAGACCTTTATCATGAAGAAATGTTGTATTATAGCTAGAACCTAGAAACAACATAAATACCTCTTGACCAAAGAATGGATAATGAAAATGTGGTACACATGCAGTACTACAAAGCAGAAAAGAATAATGACATCTTGATATTTGCAGGAAAATGAATAGATCTAGAAAACATTATATTGAGTTAGGTAACCCAGACCCAGAAAGACAAATATCATATGTACTCACTCATAAGTGGCTTTTAGACATAAAGCAAAGAAAAACCAGCCTACAATTCACAATCCCAGAGAAACTAGACAACAAAGAGGACCCTAAGAGAGACATGCATGGATCTAATCTACATGGGAAGTAGAAAAAAGACAAGATTTCCTGAGTAAATTGGGAGCATGGGGATCATGGGAGAGAGTAGAAGGAGAGGGGAGAGAAAAGGGGGACAGAGAAAAATGTGTAGCTCAATAAAAAAATTTAAAAAAGAAAAATAATAATAAATAAAAAGAATATATAACTACACTGAAAAAAACTGAAATAATGCACTGGTACATGACATATTTGGGGGCATAGAATAGCCTGCTGTGCCTCCTGTATAAAACATAAAAATGATTAGTCTATTTTGTGGTCATTGTTTTGGAAAACACTGGAATTCTGACATGAACACTAATTCCCATTTTGCTACTCTGGAGGCTCTGACTGGACTTTTAGCCGGTCACAAACAACTGTGGGTGCTTTTCCCCACAGAGAATACTCTAGTAGTACATGAAGCAAAGCAAGGCATGAACCAGGGCCAATGTCTCTGCTCATTGTTTTAATGTGATTGTGTTTGTGTTGGGAACATGTGTCTCATGGCACATGTGTGGAGGTCAGAGGACATTTCTTCTCCTCCCTTGTGGGGTCCTGGGAATCAAATTAGGTCATGAGGCTTGTCAGCAAATACTTTTACCCACTAAACCACTTCACTGGCCCAACATTAAGCCTCTCCTTCCTTCCTTCCTTCCTTCCTTCCTTCCTTCCTTTCCTCCCTCCCTCCCTCCCTCCCTCCCTCCCTCCATTTACTTACTTTTCTTTCTTTTTTTTAGTTTTTTTTTTTTTAAGATAAAGTTTCTCTGTGTAGCTCTGGCTGTTCTGGAACTCACTCTGTAGACCAGGCTGGCCTCAAACTCAGAGATCTGCCTGCCTCTGCCTCCCGAGTGCTGGGATTAAAGATGTGTGTCACCATCGCCCGGCACAAATGTTAAGTCTTATCCCTCTCCATCAGAGTTTCACAGTGACTTACATGGGAGCATTATTTTTCTGTCACTGTATACTATTATTTTAAATTATTTTTCCTTTTGGATCTGATCAACATTCTCAGTGATATCACTTTCAGAAATCCAATTAAGCGCAAACATCTATCTGAGGAGGTAGCAGTCAAGATAAACCTTGACATTATAATAGGCTGATGAAATTATTGTTTCATTTTCTAGAAAGCATACGTACAGCACATCCTGCAGTGTGCCTGCAGAGAGGAAACTAACGCCACCATTCGAGGGCTTCACGGGCTAATTGCAGCCATTGCTGGTTATCCAGACATCCAGCTTCCAAATCAACTCGACCTTCTACAGATATTATATGCATATTCAATGCCTAAATGAATTATAGCCCTCACTATGCCCTCTGCATGTGATTGGGGGTGGACATGCACATGTGTACATGTATATGTAGAGACCAGAGGTCAACCTCAGTTGTCATCTCCTCGGAAACTGCTTACCTTCATTTCGTGGCATGGTATGTCACTGGGCCCGAGGCTTGCTGACTAGGCTATGCTGGCTGGCCAGCAAACCCCATGGCTACCATGCCTGGCTCTTTATGTGGGTGCTGATAATATAACTTATGTCTTCCTGCTTATACAATAAGTACTTTACCAGCTGATCTATCTCCTAGCCCTAGAACACTACTTTAAGTGACAGTCAAGGGACTGACAGGTCTGGGAATACGATTACAGTATCTTTAATAGTTTCTCATAAAAGCCACCATGGGCACATACATGTGAGAACACAAATCACAGGGGGTCAGACATTCCAGTTGGACATTTTTTTAAAATTCTGTCATTTGATAATTATTATTCTATTTATGCTATAGTGCATAATGCTATATCTAGCCTTATAAAAAGCTGTCACTTCTGCTAACATGGAAGCTAGAAAGCAGTGGGCATACAATTTCTTATCTTTACATTGTAAGTCAGGATGCTGTATGAGGAGTTAGGTCTCACAGAGACACTTTATTATTCTAATATTTTATCCCCATTTGTCAAAATGCTTATTTAAGCCACAAGGGGAAAACTCTTGTGCTTCCAAGACCTCAGACTAAACTGCTACAGATCAAGCAGCTCTGGATTTCTGATTATTCTAAGATAGGTCTTAACAAAATGTGGATATTGTTTTGCTACTCAATCATGCAGTATTCACATGCCTCAATAATAGTCTAGACCATGTTATCAAAAATGGTGAGAATACTTTAAATATAAAACAAAAAATATTTTTGATGAAATGTTAACTTTTGATTTTTGAGAGGTTTTTGAGTATTTTGATTGAACTTAAATATTCAATAATATTCAATTTTTTGAATATTCAAGTACCTATTGGGATGTTTATTAAGAACTGCATCAAATGAAGGAAGAAAAAGACAAATGAAACATAAACACATACCACGTGAATTGTGAAATAACAAAGTCAAGTGTTTGCATTTTAATTCTTTCAAGACATGGTTTTTCTATATAGCCCTGGCTATCCTGAAACTCTGTAGACCAGGCTAGTTTTGAACTGACAGAGATCCACCTGCCTCTGCCTCCTGAGTACTGGGATTAAAGTCCTGTGCCACCATTGCTTGACAAGTGTTTTCATTTTTAAAAACAAATAATCAAGGCCACTCAAAGACGGCATCATGG